ATCTGTAAGAGCCCCCAATAAAATGATTAATTAAGAAATTTTAAAAAGAAAAATGTTTACTTAATTTTACTGAGTACATAAAGGCATTTGACTATGTAGATCATAACAAATTATGGGTCACATTGTGAAGAATGAGAGTCCAGAACACTTAATTGTGCTCATGCAGAACCTACACTGAAGCCAGAAATTACATTCTTATATGGAAATAAAAGAGGAAGCTGAATTTATTGGTCAAGGGCATAAATATATTTGTATGATGTTTAGATAAACTCATTGCCATTGAGTTAAATTCTACCTCACAGCAATCCTATATGGGTTTCCCAAGGCTGTAAATCTTTATGGGGACAGCCTCATTCTTTCTCCTGTAGAGCCGCTGGTGAGTTTGAACCACTGATCTTGTGGTTGCCAATTCAACGCTGACCTGACTGCGTACTCTATGACCAATTACTGAAATTGAAAATAAAGTAGTTTAAAGTGAGTAACCAGTGGCTGAAACGTGTTTTCTTTCTCATCTATTCAGTAGAGAGAGATTTTTCTAATGAGAATTCATTTATCAATATCATTATCCAACAAATATATAAGGTTAGCACTCTGGGTCTACTAGGCTACCAGGCACTCTTGAGTTCTAATGGTGGGCCTTGTTTTTCCCGTGTCTTTGTTGAATTACAGTTTGTGCATGCGCACTCTCTCTCTCTCTCATTGTATAAATAAGGGTGCACTAGCCACCTTGGACCGGGGAGAGGGGTGGAATTTTCTTCCTCCAGCTCCCTTTCCCTCCATTTTCCGACCACGGAAACACAAGGAATCCAGGACAGATACACCTCTCAGGACCAATAATGAAAGTAGAGATACCAGGAGGGGAAGGGGAAGGTGGGGGGAGAAAGGAGGAAACGATCAAAACGATCTATGTATAAACCCTCCCCACCCACAGGGGGACAGAGAACAGAAAAGTGGGTGAAGGGAGACAGCAGTCTTCCATTCTTTGTGGAGAAGGTTCACCTCCCCTCTAACCAAAAGGGGGCCAATATTTCTCCACCTCTTGTAGCAGGTTCTTCAAATATGCTGCATGTATTCATTAACCTTATTAATTCAGAATCAGCAATTCACTGGAAATGAGGACAACTTTCATTCAAAATGTAAATATAGACACCATTCCCTAGCTTCTCTAAAAATGGCAGCTTTAATCAAGATTCTGAGACAGTATTTAGAAACTTTGAGGGAAGATGTGGTCCCTGATCCTGGAGAACCTCAACTCAAAAAGGAAACATAAAACTAAGGAACAGAGAATCTTTCTGGAAGGCTTCCAAAAACCGGTTGCTGGTGAATGCAGCCCCCTGCCTCGTGCCCCTCTAGGCCACACAGGGTTTCCAAGGCGTACAGTCTCAATGGAAGCAGACTGCAATATCTTTCTCCTGCACAACAGGCTGGTGCGTTTGAACCCCTGACCTTTCAGTGAACAGTGAACACTTAGACATTGCCCTCTCTCCCAGAGCTCCTGCCTAGAAGGTTTACCATTAGGTTAAAAAGTTGTGACAAGGTCTGAGTCAAATGATGCAGACACTTGCTGCTTGTCTTTGTCAAGATGGAAACTTTATGAACTTCGCAGGTAGTTCATTCAGCACTGTGGTGTTCACTTGGTTCCTGTTATGAGTGACGGGTAGGGGTGGGTGGGGAGAGAAAGAACATAGGGGGGTGGGAGGTGGGGCAGGCAATGGAGGCAGGACAGGCAGAGTTTTGAAGCCCACTTGCTCTTTAGCCAGAATAATGTTACTTTTTCAAGTTTCAAATACTGCAGTTCTGCCTGAGACATTACTGCTAAAAAGGGTCTCAGTGTTGGAAACCCCACTGTGATGGCTGTCAACGGTAGTTTATTGAGCGTCTGCTGGTGGCATAGTGGTTACGCATTGGGCTGTGATCTTCAGGGTCAGCAGTTTGAAATCACCAGTTGCTCTGTGGGACAAAGACAAGGCTTTCTACTCCCGTAATGAGTAACAGTCTCCGAAACTCCAAGGGACAGTTCTCTCCTGGCCTGTAGCATCACCATGAATTTTCACCATGAGTTGGAATTCACTCGAGGGCAGTGAGTTTGTTTTTTTGGTGGGAGCTGTGGGTGGGGCAGTAGACCAAGCTGTTTACTGATATCACTGAAACAGTCCCTAAAAGACCAAGAAGGGAGGTACAATTCCCACTTTACAGATGAGAAAAACTGAGGTTCTAAAAGGTTAAGGAAATTGAGCCAAATGCACAGCTCCTACGTGGTAGAGTGAGATTCAACCCCCTCTGTCTGCTCTGGAAGCTCTCCTCTTAACCTGCACCGTGCTGTGTAGCTCATATGTTCACAAGCACATACAAATCATAAGACAACAGCACTTAGGAAAGTGTGCTGGGGGTGGGGCACACTGCCTGGCTGTTGCTTTCAAGAGGTTTTTTGTTTCGTTTTTTAAAATCATTTTATTGGGGGCTCTTACAGCTCTAATTACCATCCATCCATCCATCCATCCATCCATCCATCCATCCATCCATCCATCCATTATGTCAAGCACATTTGTACATACATATATTGCCATCATCATTTTCTACTTGAGCCCTTGGTATCAGCTCACTTTCCCCCTCTCCCATCCTCCCTCATGAACCCTTGATAATTTATACATTCCTGCCCCCCCCCCCATGTCTTACACTGACTACTGTCTTCCTTCACCCACTTTTCTGTTGTCTGTCCCCCTGGGGGTGGGTTATACATAGATCATTGTGATCGGTTCCTCCTTTCTCCCCCCCAACCTTCCCCTTCCCCTCCTGGTATCTCGACTTTCATTATTGGTCCTGAGAGGTTTATCTGTCCTGGATTCCCTGTGTTGAGAGCTCTTATCTGTACCAGGGTACATGCTCTGGTCTAGCCGGATTTGTAAGGTAGAATTTGGCCTGAGGCCCAAGCTGAGGTAACCAAGCCTGGACACATGCTCTCTCACCAGAGGTCGGGTTGGGCTCACAACTAAAGATTCATTGCATGGGGTGCAAGGTTCTTGTAAGTGGAGACAGCCTCTCTTAGCCATCCCTGTGTATCAAGTGTTTTCATAAAGAAAAATTTGGAACTTTAGGGAAAAAAAAGTGGGAGAGGGATTTAAAGCGGAAGTCCTGTTGGGATTTTCTGGTGTGGCATTGGCATCAGGGGTATACAGGAATACTGTCAGTAATGGGAAAGAGAGGCAGTCATGCCCGGTAAAATCATTGGTGAAAAGGAAGAGAAGTGTCGAGTGCATATTGAAACCGAGGAGCCTGGTCATCCTTGCTTAGGTCAGAGTCGTTACATCGCAGTCTTACTGCTGTTTGTCCTAAGCCAGTCAGGTGGCTCACACCCCCATAATAGGGGAGATCTTAGTGTTTTCCCCCTTCTTTGAATGATGAAATTCTTCCAGGGTTTTCTTTTAATGGAACCTTTTTTTAACCTCTTCCAGGAAGCTGTCAAAATATGTGATTTTTAATTTTAAAGAGAAACAGAACTGTAATGTGTCAAGTCCCTGGAAATAGTCTGAAATCCAAAGACCATCTGGCCACAGAGATCTCAGTTTCTTTGACACCACTGGGACTTGGGGGCGCTCCCCACCCCCCTACCCCCCGCGGGGTTGGTCTTGTGAGAACCAAATTGAGACTCAGCCAGGAGGAGCCTGCCCTGGTTCCTGGTTCCTGGTTCCTGGTTCCACGGAACGCCAAGGCCCTTGTTATCTCCCAAGGCCTCTGGGGTTTAACGAGGGTACTGGGTGGGGTGGGGTGGGGTGGGGTTTGTTCCTGAAATATCCAGAGTGCAAACAAGTCATGTTTAAGATGTACTGAGGTGGTGATTTAAAGGGAACCCAGGGCACAAGCAGCAATCGCGCTTGGCTTCTGTGTACGTATGTTTGTAAAGGTGCGTTTGCAGGATGAACCTCCCTGTGCAGTGGTTAAATGCTTGGCTTTCAACGGAAGATTCAGGGGTTCGCACCCCTCAGTTGCCCCATGGGAAATAGCCAGCCTTGGAAAGGCTGTGGGGCGTCTGTCCTGTCCTCCAGGGAGTGTTGATATGAGTTGGAATTGACTCTAGAGCAGTGTGTTTGGGAGGCAGGTGCATTTGCGGCAGTAATGACAACTTCTCTGAATTGTGCTCATTAACAGCTATTCAATTTGCATATGTGAAAAAAGTTTCTCCTTGGGGCTAGGAAGTATTTGATAGTCAAAACTTGATGGAGACCCCAAGGGACGAAAAAGCAAACAGAAACGGAACCCTCCCATAGGAAGGTGGGTGGATGCGTGCCCAGGCTTATTTACAGGTACGCAGGGTGGCCCCAGTGCTTCGTGGAACCCGTAAGCCGATAAGACTTCCAATTCAGGGCGGGATCATCCTTCACAAAAAGGAGAAAAGCGCACAGCAAGAATTTCCTGCGGTCGTGCGTTGATGCCTATAGCCTGTAGCTGAGAGAAGTTCACAACTGTATGAACGTCTTAGAAATGGGTAGAGGACATTGAAGTCTTCTAGCCAACACCCCGAAGGTATAAATATTTGCAGCTCTTCCTTAAAACCCTCTCCTTCCGCACCAGCATCACAGGCCTGGCCTCTCATTCACAGACTTACACTGGGAGTCCCTGCGTGGAACAAACAGTTAATAGCTCAATGACTCTCTGAAAGGTCCATGGTCAGAACCTCCCAGGGGCACGCCCGAAGGAAGCGGGCCACTGCTGAGATCCACAGCCATGAAACCCATTTGGACAGCAGAGCGCTACAAGGCCACACACAGGGCTACCGTGCTGCCGGCTGGAGCCATGACAACTAACAGGCACCACCTTCCCATGGATTAGGAATTCGTTTTAGTAGCTGTTTGGACTGAGGCATTTGCCCCCTGGGGAAGGAATGTAGGCCACAGGGATGGGATGGGGTGAGCCTGAGGGAGAGATGAGCACTGTGTGGCCTGCAGTCTCTCCCACCTCCACGGTGGCCTTTGCTGTGGCTGGGGAAGAGGGAGGCAACTTACCTGAAATTTCTGGAAGTGTGGGCTTGTCTTCTTACCCGAAGTTCCCATCACAAACAGGAAGTCTGGGGTTAGCACAAATGGCACTCTCTCTTTATTTATGCCCAGAAAGCTCTTGTAATTTCCAAGAATGTGCCCAAAGTCGATATGAAATAGATTTCCTTAAAAGAAGAAAAGGTTTGACATAGGATTCTGGGGTAAGTGCTTGTAACTACCCCTTAGTGTGCTTGCTTCTCGAAATAGTTTGTAAGTTGCCTGAAAATGAGCTATCTTGGGTGAGAAAGCTATTTTTGGCTCTGTTCATCAGCTTCTGTATTTCTCGTCGTAGCAGGTGTGTGAAAGTCGTGCCCACAAAGCACTCTTTGAGCCCACTGTGCTTTCGATGGTCTTCCGGTGTTCTTTTGAGGGTGGCCAATGACGGGAAGGCATTCTCAGAGTCATTCTTAGAAACATAATCACACTATCCGGTGACCGTGTCATCATGAAGCCTCAGATCTTCGCAGGCATTCTCTCTTCTGGTCCTCACAGAGTCAATGATTTGTCTTGATCGGGCGCTTTCCCCAGATTTCTACTCTGAAGCCAGCCCACATCTCCGAGAGAAATATCTCACTCTTGGGTGGCCAGTACTGACCACTGTCAGAGTGGACAGGGACTCAGTGAGGGTGGGATACAAGGATATCTGCCAGTTCTTTTTGTTGCTTCTCCACAACGCCGGATGTTGACCGCTCCCACCTCACTTAGCGTCCCCAGGAGAACCCTACGCCCATCTTGGCACTCCCTTTGAATGGTTCCTTCTGATCTCCCTGTCTGTCTCTTCTTGCCTGCCCACTCAGGGCTCCCCAAGATGAGTGGCCTCTCCAGGGGGATCACATTATCTGGGCCCCTTCCCAGCAATACATTCTAAATACCTCTGCCAGCCTGCAACTCCATTAAAATGTAAAAAAGGTGACTCCCCTTACCTGTCTCCGTGATCATAATGTTGTCATTGTGCCTGTCTCCTATGCCAAGGACAAAGGTGGCCACACAGTAGCCAGCGCAGGAATACACGAATCTCTCCACGGCGGCCTGGAACTAATTAAAATGCATCTGAATGTTAGTGACGTTTTAGCTCCGAAGAGAAGCGAGCATCCATTACAAACTATTCCCCCAAAGGCAGTGTGCTGAAGACCTGTTTCCGAGGGCACGTGAGAGCCACGCCCACAGGGCAGCTTTCTCTGTGCTCAGCTGGTACTTCGGCTGCAGCTCCCGGGCAACCCAGTAGCCAGAGCAGAACACTCGGGTGAAAGGACAACATCATTTTCAAAGGTTCATTTTCTCTGCATGCATCGCTTGCCAGCGCCTATCCGGAGCCCATAACTTCTTGACCGGTGAAGGGATGTCTTGCTTGTGACTACTTAAAATATGCCCAGTTTCACAAACACATGTATATACCCCTGACTGCTCAGGTGATTCCTGCAGGGCTCAGTAAAACTTCTTGTCATGTGGCGTTTCGAAAACTGTCCATCTTTACAGAAGCAGACTGCCCCACCCTTCTTCCTCCAAATGGCTGGTGGCTTTGGACAGCTGACTTTCCAGTTAGCAGCTGATTGCTTAAGCACTGAGCCACCAAGGCTCCTAAATCCAGGTCTACAGCAGCCTAATAAAGGCTACTAAATATATCTCCTTTATTAAAGGCTGACAATCACACAACCTAGAAGTGCTAAGCCTGTGCAGCAGAATTTTCAATGACAGCCAAATAGCCTAAGCACACAGCTTGGGAGGGATTCAGCATAATCGCTTCTGCTGCTCTGACCTACATTTTCTGCATCCATAATTTACGTTAGATTATATTGCAGTGGCAAGCCATGAATAACTTTACAGGGGGTGTGGTATTTTCCCAGGTAGGGGAGGATTTACGCATTTGTTGTTGTGTGCCCTTGAGCCACATACAACTCTAGTAACCTGATAGGCCAGAGAAGAGCGGCACCATAAACCAACCAAACTCACTGCCATCGGGTCAATGCTGACTCATGGCGACCATAGAGGAGAGGCTGGAATTGCCCCTGTGGGTTTATAGGAGTGGGAGGCTCTGTCTTTCTCCCAAGGAGCAGTTGGTGGTTTCGAACTGCTGACTTTGCTGACTGCAGCCAAATGCTTACACTCTCTGGCATCATAGAATGCCAGGTATTCAAACAAAGTGTTCTTGCACTGAGGGAGAATTTGAGTAGAGATCCAGTGTCCATTTGCTACCCTAATACTTAACATATAAATATATGTACATAGACCTAAACCCCTATCATTAGATATTAATATATTTACATATGTACATGCTTATATTTAGACCTCTATAAATGTTGTTTCCTCCTAGTTCTTTCCTCTATTTCCTTTTACTTTCCTCCTGTTCCACTATCATGTTTGATGTTCATTTGGCTCTCAGTAATTCCCCTTGGCTACATTGCACTTGATCAAACCCCACCAACTTGTTGTTCCCTTCTCCCTGGGTTCCCGACATGATCACTAAAGACAAAATGGGTGCAAATGTGGTGAAGAAAGCTGATGGTGCCTGGCCATGACAAGCTATCGCATGTGGGGTGTGAAAGGCTTGAAGTTAAACAAGCGGCCATCTAGCAAGGAAGGAACAAAGCCCACATGGAAGAAGCACACCAGCCTCTGTGATCACGAGGTGTCAGTGGGATCTGGTATCAGGCATCAGAAGACCCAAAACAAACAATTGTATTAATGCGAACGAGGGGGTCGGAGTAGAGACCCAAAGCCCATCTGTAGACACTTGGCCATCCCCTCACACAAGGGTCACAAGGAAGGGAGGAGTCAGTGAGAGTGCAGTATAGCACCGATGAAACACACAACATTCCTCTAGTTCTTTAAAGTTGGCCCCACCCCAACTCCCGACTAACATGATTCCAGTTCTACCTTACAAATCCAGCCAGACCGGTGGGAGCTCATATACTGGTACAGATAAGAGCTCTAGGCACACGGAATTCAGGACAGATAAACCCCTCGGGACAGAAATGGGAGTAGTGATACCATGAGGGTAAGGGGAATGTGGGGGCAGAAGGGGGAGTACAGGGAACCAATCACAATGATCGATATAGTACCCCACCCTGGGGGGGGGGGTACAAACAACAGAAATGTAGGCTAAGGGAGATAGTGGACAGTGTAAGATTTGAAAATAATAATAATTTATAATTTATCAAGGGGTCACAAGGGTGGGAGTGTGGGGGAGCGAGGGAAAAAAGAGGAGCGGATACCAAGGGCTCAAGCAGAACGAAAATGTTTTGAAAATGATGATGGCAACATATGTACAAATGTGCTTGGCACAATTGGTGTGTGGATTGTTATAAGAGCTGTAATAGCCCCCCCCCCAAAATGATTTATTAAAAATAAAAAGCACTCCAGCACCAGGACCCCTAGGGATTTGTAAAGGAGATCTTTATGGGGGCCCCTTGCCAGCTTCTCCCCTGCAGACCCGCTGGTGGGTTCAGACTACTGCCCTTCAGGTTAACAGTTCTCAATCAGGGTGCCCGCAGAGTTCCTATCAGACATACTAAGGAAAATGTCTGCTCTATGACAGAGAGCCCTCAGAGGGGCGAACTATTTCACACAACCAAATGTTATGCAAAGCATGCCTGATAATTAGAGGGCAGGCAAAAGCTCGGAGTCCTGAGCTGCCGGCTTCTGTTTGGCACAGAAATGCTGTGGGCCGAACCACCAGCCCTGCCCCACAAGCTCAGGAGTATGGCTTCCACAACTCACCTTGACCCTCTAACAGGTTGTCATCCTGTGGGTCGCGACCCCTTTGGGGGTCGAACGACCCTTTCACAGGGGTCACCCAATTCATCACAGTAGCAAAATGACCGTGATGAAATAGCAACGAAAATAATTTTATGGTTGGGTCACCACAACAGGGGGAACTGTATGAAAGGGTCACGGATTAGGAAGGTTGAGAACCACTGCTAGGACCCTCCACAGCCAAGAACTGCCCCCCCCGTGAGACTGAAACTGTGTTACGGGAGTAGAAAGCCCCATCTTTCCCCCAGGAGCTGCATGGTTTGGAACTGCCGACCTGGCCGTTAGCAGTCCACCCGGTAACCCCTTTGTCACTAGAGGGCTCCTCGGTGGCGCTGGCAGGTCCCTGGAAACCGGAAAGCCGCTATTGCTGCACCTGCGATCCGGGGGCGGAGCCTTGGGAGGGGGCCAGCCCGAGCTCACCTTCTCTTCCAATGGGCACTTCTCCCTGAGCCAGTGGCTCAGGACCTCGTCTTTGAAGGCGCCCGTGTTGCCCACCGTGCTTTGCTGGATTTTGGCAATGGTCGTGGCGTCCTTCACGATTTCGATCATGCCTGCGCGAGGAGGCAGGGTTAGATCGCGAGGGGGCTGCGGCCTGGAGCCCGACTCGACCCGGGGGAGCAACGACCCTGTCCTGGGGAGTGGCCGGCCGACCACCTGCCTGCTCTCCAGGTTCCTGCTTCTGGTCCTCTTAGGAGGAAGGAGGAGGAAATGAGGGGAATGTGGGAGCTGTGCGGGACCTGATGCTTACCTCAACGAAGAGGAAAATGTTGGCTTTGAACGATGATAATAATAGCATTTACATGCCGAGCGGAGCCTTCCTCGATCCGCAGTCTGGGCCCTTTCTATTTTATGCACGACGGGGTCAAGTGTAAAGGGTTATGCACGGTTTCTCAAATCAGAAACTTAAATCAACTATATTCTGCATGATTGAATGTAATATAATATGCCTGATTAAAATGAAAACGTTAAATGTCTATAAAAGCAGCTACGAGTCGCGTGTACAATAGCTTTGATAAATGTGCATTCTGGAAATATTTAAATAGCTGCCAGAACTCCCCATCTATTTAAAAATGTGATTTGGGGAGAGAGAGGTTGAAGGTGCCTGAGAAACCTGCGCTAGAGTTCAGAGGCGGACAGGGAAAGAGGAGGCAGCAGGTTTGGACTAAATCTTTTCCTTGTATTGCCTCCAGTCTCCACGTGATGCAGGGAGGCCCCGCCCATCAGCCTTGGGACCGTTCTTCCTGTTTGGCTGGGTTTCCATAACACGCTGCAATCTTTACATTTTTCATCTCCCCAGGTGGCCACACACCTATTTTGTCACCAGTTGAAATGCAACCGTAAGGCAGGAGGCACAGATCCAAAGATTCAGTCTCCCAAATGGACTCCATGATCCGTAGAATCTGGGCATCACAACACAAAAAACATTTCCACTATAAATATATGTTTATTTAACATTAGCCCCACCCCCGCTTGATAACACAGGGCACATCAGTAAACATAAGTTACATAAGTTCTGGCTACCTCTTATTCCACCACTCTGATGCTCTCCCTTTTGGGGCGGCCTATTCTTTTTGGTCCCATTATTGACCTTGGGGAAGAGGTTAAGTAGATGTCTTTGGGGGTGAGGCTTTAGCCCTGTTTCATCACCCATATACCCAAATTCCATTTAAAAAAACTTACTAAATGTTATCCTCTTAAGCGCCAATCAAAGCAACAACAATGACTGCTAATGAAAGCCATGGTCCACTAAGTGCATGAGCCCTATCACAGCGGTTCCTCTTTCTGCAGGGGAGGAAATAGGCCGCCATGAGCCCTTCGCTGCCCTGCTGGGAGCCTCTACAACCAAGCCCTTGAAGGCTGGTGCAAACTTTCCCTCAACAGAGAGAAACCAGTCAGTGTTCTGTGATGGGTTTGAGCTGCCCACCTCCAAAGACCTCAAAGAGTTCTACAGATGTGTTTTCTAAAATTTCTCTAAATTTTCAGAAAGCTTGAAGGGTATTTTAAATACATCGAGACAATGCATACACCATGTTTGGGGCATAGGTGGAGAAAACAAAGGTATTAGTGTTTCCAAATCAGAAAGTAGTAGAAACAGAAACAGAGAAAATAGAAAATATTACTAGTTTTTAAATAGGCTACATTTGAATCGATAAGGGCTTTATTTTAAAATTAATTATATGTTCACTTAAAATATACTAAATATGGTCAGCAGAAATTTTGTTTTCACAATGTTAGAAAATGGAGACTATTGATTACTTTACAGATGTGCCTAGCTCAAGTTGACTGAGAAATGTTAGGAAGTATGAAAATCACTAGCCATGATAATGATTAACCATTCACTTTCTGTAATTCACTTTCCATAACTCTCATTATTTTAATAGTATGATTTCTCCAGTCCATTTATCTGCTCATCTTCTTTGTCTTTCCTCCAAAATAATTCCAAGTTTGTGTATTTATAAGTATATCTGAAGCAAGACTTACCTGCAACTGGGGATCTATCTCTGAATATAAATGAAGTAGATGCTAGGGAGTAAGCCTGTCTATATCTTATTGCTGATTTTGAAATGGTGGATGTAAAAGAGAAGTAGGTGAGGTAAGTGTCTCTGGCTATTTGGAGACATTAGACCGACCTCTATCTTCTCAGGAATGGACAAGAGTGATCATGCTCAGTGAAACCCTGCTATGTAATCTCTGAGACACTTGCTCATCAGACAGCAAAGGGGACCGGGACTAGAATCAGAAGAAAGTATTTTAGATGTAATACAGAATGCTCCCCCAACCCCAGAGAACTGATGGGAAAGGGTCCTTAGCAACAGCATACCTGTAAAATTAGCATGTCTTGACGCAGATCGTCCCCGTGCTTAAAGATGATTCCAATGGTCTCTTTAGATAGGGCTGTGGGGTCAGCACATTTAAACTCAAGCCAGAGGGGCTTTTTCTTGGAGGCCATCACTTTACATTTTTCAATCTGCAAGACAGTGGGCACGAGGTCTCGACACACAACGAATACCCATCATAGAGACACAAAACTTTGTGTGTACCACAATTCTATATTTGTACCACCAGGACAAAACCCTAATTGGAAAACTATTTTCAATAGTTTGGAACTTGCACACTTGCTGGTGTGTAAGCCACTCAAACACTTGACATCTGACCCAGTTCTTCTACTATGACATATTTACTCAAAACGTAGATGACAATTGTGGTACATCTGTACATGGGGATACTTGCTGTTGTAAGTGCTGTTGAATTTCCCCCGACTAATAGTGACCTCAACACATCATCATGAGATGCTGCCTGGTTCCGCATGGTCCAGCCCATTGTTGCAGCTACTCTGTCAGTCTGTGACATTGAGGATCTCCCTCTTTTTTGCTGACCATTGACTTTACCAAGAATGATGTGTTTCTCCAGTGACAGGTCCCACCTAATGGCATATCCAAAATAAGGTAGACAGTCTCACTACCCTTGCTTCTAAGGGGCATTGCGGCTGACCTTCTTAAAGACAGATTTGTTGGCAGTCCATGGTATATCCAATATTTTTATCTAGCATGGCAGTTCAAATACATCAAGTCTCTGGTCTTTATTTCTCACTGGGCAGCTTTCAGATGAATATGAGGTGAGTGAAACACCATGACTTGGGTCATGTGCATCTTTGCCATCAAAATGTTATCTTTGCTTTTTCAAAAGATCTTTTGCAGCATACTTACCCAATGCATTGTATCATTTGACTTCTGCTGCCATGAACATTGATTGTTGCTACAAAAAGAACGAAATTCTTGACAATGTCCATTTCTTCTCCATTTATGACATTGTTACAATTGTAGAGATTTCCATTTTTTTATGTTCACATGTAATCCACGTGGAAAGCTCTACTCTTTTGCCCTCATTAGTAAGTGCTACAGGTCAGAAGAGTCTCCACTTTTTGCAGGCAAAGTTGTGTCATTGGTGTATTATTGTTATTGACTCTTTTTGAGTCAATTGAGTCTATTGTTATTGACTCTTTTTGAGTCAATTGAGTCTATTGTTATTGACTCAATTATTATTATTGGTGTATTATTATTAATGACTCTTCCTCCAGTACTGATGCTACACTCTTCTTCATCTAGCCCAGCCTCTTGAATTCTTTATTGGGCATACATATTGAATAATTAAGGTGAAAGAGTACAACCCTGCCACCCACTTCTTCTAGTTTTAAACCATGAAGTATCCCCTTCTTCTGTCCAAATGGCTTCCTCTTGATCTAGGGAGAGGTTTCACATAAGCCCAGTGAAGTGTTCTGGAGCTTGTATTCTTCACAATGCTCTCCATAATCAGAGTCAATGGAACATCTAGTGGTGTAGTGAATTATGAGTTAGGCTGCTAACCACAAGGTCAGCAGTTTGAAACCACCAGCACTCCTTGGGAGAAAAACAAGACTTTCTGTCCCCATAAATATTTACAATCTTGGAAACCCTTAGGGACAGTTCTACCCTGTCCTATAGGGTTATTATGAGTCAGAATCAACTCAATGGCAGTCAGTGGGTTTAAGTTAGTATTAGAGCATAGGTACTAGTCAGTCATAGAAAGAAACAGACTACTGATACATATAATATAGATGAATTTTCAAAGTGATTTACTAAGTGGAAGATGCCTGATACAAAACTATATACAGCATAAGTCCACTTAATGAAATTCTAGAAAAAGCAAATTATAAGAGAGAAAGCAGATTGATTGCTTGAGGCTAGGATTGAAGCTTGAAGACAAAAACTTACTGCAAAGGGACACAGAGGAACTTTTAATGCTAAAAATGTTCTCTATATTGAGCGTAGTAGTGATTATTGGATTGTTTATATTTTCAATGTTCCCCCAAGCCATGGTATTCTCAGTCACCCCACATGCATGTGAAAGTTGGAAATTGAATAGGAAGACTGTGGCAGAATTGTTACATTTTAATTATGCTGCTGGCAAAGAATATGGAAAGCACACCATAGACTGCCAAAAGAACAAACACATCTACCTAGGAAGAAGGACAGCCGTGCTCCTTAGAGGCAAGGGTGGTGAGACTTCATCTCACCTCTCCTGACATGTTTGTCAGGAGAAGACCAGTCCCCGGAGCAGGACATCATGCTTCGTCAACAAAACAGAGGGAACTTCTCAATGATGTGGGTTGACACCGTGGCTGTACCAAGGGGCTCAAACATAGGAACAACTGTGAGGATGGTGTGGGACCGGGTGGAGTTTCCTTCTGTTGTACATCGGTTGCTATGAGCCAGAACCTATTTGATGGAACCTAACAACAACAGCAGCATACATTTTAAATACACTAAGATGAATACTTCAAATGGAAACATGGTCAAGTGTACAGATGATACCACAATAAAGCTTATTTCAGACAAATTGGGAAGGTTGTTACCTCGGCCGGGGTTTTCAGTGATAAACGGAAGTCCATCTAGGATTCTTTCTGTCACCATTTCTAGATGAACATGAGTTTTTAAACCACGGGGCCACCCCAGCCCGCACAGCCATCCCCACAACAGAAAGAACACATAGAGACATCAAGCTGACACCTACCACCAGCGCACCTGCTTTCAGTCCAGGGTCATAGGGGACTCTAAAGCTTTTAGGGAGATGAGAATTCTGCAGGTTTTCAAGCTTTTGCTTAAGTTGTGAAATAACTGTAATTGTCAGAAAGCACAGAAAAGAAATAGGAGTTAAAGAAATAATCATTCTAGCATCTTCTGGGGCCTAACGTAGTAATGGTTGTCTTTACACTGGAGGCAAGCGGGAGAAACAAGGGCGCGTCCCTTCCTCTTTGAGGAACTCACCGATCACTTGGCGTGCAAGAGAAGTCGGCTTCCCGTGTGCAATATAACCATGTACACATCCCGCGACAGGAGGCGCAACCATGGGAGTTATAGGAAATTGCACACAGACACACTCAGGTAGAGAGGGAGGTTTTGAAGGTCAGGTTAAAGAATTAATGCTGTAGTTTTCATTCCAAGACGGGAAACTCTGAATTGCTATCTGACTTGGGGAACAGATGTTTGCAAACAATATGGGATGGAACAGGACTATGTTTCTGTCATTTCTTTTCAAAAGAGGAAGTTAAGTTGCATGAAGATCAGGCAGTATCAAAATTTGAAAGGTGATTTCTTTAATTTAAAAAATTACTCCAAAAAAATTTTTTAAAAACATTACTCCATGGATTACAAACTAAGAGAACAGTGCATTCCACCCCCACACCCCAAAGCCTTTAAAAAATTTACAATAAAAATAAAAGTTAGTAAGATTATTTTGACCATTATTGTTTTTAGGAATGAGCATAATGGATAGACTATAAAAGAAAAAAAGGGCCAATGTGAAAGGTTCAAATAGTCAGATATTAAAAATATGAGCTGAGTTTTTCAGTGCTGGCTATGAGCTATAGTGCCAGGTCTAAAGATGTAAAAATGAATAAGACATCTCCTCACTTTGAGGCTCATGCATTTTAACAAATGAGCAATATGTGCCAATGACTACCTAGGATATATTGCATATGCTACACAATTTACTGTAGTAATGTACAAATGTAGTGTCATCCAAAATTTTCCTAGGGTAGGGACAGGATGAGGATATTGGAAATGACTTCAGAGAAGAGGTGGTAATCTCTCTCTCACACACCCGAAGATGTGTAGAAAATTTAAAATATCTTCTCCATAATTCATGACTTTTAAAGACTGAACATTTGAAGACTATATGCATATATTCAGAGATAAGGAAGAAAATGTACAGATTTGGAAATACCTAATCTGTTCTTTTTTTTGTTTCTTGGGAATAATGGTTCTTTTTCTTAAGATAAAAAATGCACTTTATATTTGCATAATATTAAATTTCCCATATAATTCTATATCTATTATTATAAGTACATTATAAATTATTAACTTGTAAAGGAGCACATTAAATTTGCTTACTCCATGCAGACAGAAGATTTTTTTTTAAATGTATTTTTGGCAGCCTTTAAGAAGTTTCAATTTAAAAAAAAAATGAGGAGCTGATACCAAGGGCTCAAGTAGAAAGAAAATGTTTTGAAAATGATGATGGCAACATATGTACAAATGTGCATGATACAATGGATATATGGATTGTTATAA